TTAGCCATATCAAACTAGATCTCTATTAAATTTTGAAGATGAAAATAACAGCATCTTGCAGTGACAGTAGGTCAAGTTCTCAGGCATTTAACCACTTTCAAAATGAAAACGAACATGACAAATTTCAGCTTCAAATTTAACATGATTAATTTCTCAACTATCTCATGGAAACTGAGGATTAAAAAAAACCAACCAAACCAAACCATTAATGAGATAACCCAAAGCATTAAAGGAGGATTCTCCTTCCTACCTGTAACCCCTACATAATCCGTGAAAAATAAGATAATAATAAAATCTATTTGGAAACTCACAACCATTAACATATCTGTTGTCAAAATGCCTCTGCTGAAACATGGAGAGGAAAAAAATTCAACTAAACCCCCCTATTAAATCGCTGAAATACAACATGGTGAACTTTTAAAAATAATATAGCAAAGATTAGGAAAATGCTGTCTTTCCCAGTATGTTATGCCAGGGGGTAACTTCCGTAAACCTTACTAGGAGCAAACATATTTCAAAACTGACAAAATAAAACACAGGACTCAAAGTTAAAAAAAATAGATACACAACATTCACAATTCACATCAACAAATTACTGAAGTTTTGTAATACTGTTCTCACCTTAAACTATCAGATTTATTCACAAAATAAACTTAAAACACTAATTAATGAATGCGTCAAAGACTGTCAACTAGATTACTACTTGTGTAAAATAAACTACTTGAACAAAGACTGAAGTATTTAGGGAACAGCCAAGTCATTTGTAATCAACTTGTCAGCAGTTCCAAACTAGGAAGTTCACAGAAAAATGCACATCAAGCCAAGAAAAATTCTATGGAGCTTTGCAGATATTTGTGCATTCTCTAGCTTGTGAAATTAGTAACAGCAGTTTCAGGTTGCATTCCCTCTCTTTGCAATCCTTCTGCCTGTCTCCTGACGCATCTCTATGAAAAAGAAGTGAATGCATAACAGTTATCATCTCTAGGGTGAAGAGATGCTGGTCCAGAAAAAAAAACGCTTTACTTTTTTTTTTTTTATTCCAATGATACCTGTTCTTTGGAAGTTTTGCAAGAGGTCTGTTGTTCTCTTATTATCACAATTGCATTTATGCCTTCATGTAACAGCTGTGAAAAAGATGCTCCTGGGCAAAATTTATGACAAGAGACACTAACATAACAATTTTGATACAGTGGGAGTTCAGAAACTGTATTGTTGATTGTAAAAAAACCACTAGCAGAGCAGAAAATCTGAACCTGATATTTGAACAAATAACCCATTTCAGAGCTGTAACAACTTCTTTAGCAATGTAAGTATTTGTATACCATTACAGAAGGGGACAGGAGAAGCAACTTTAAAAAAAGAAATCAGTCCTACTTCAAAGTAGAAATAAATGTTTAAAAATTCCTTTAACTTTGAACTTCAGTAGAGAAACAGCATTTGTCTTTTTTTATTAATTCTGAGTAGTACTGAAC